GGGCCGGACGCTGTGGCTCACGCCTGTAATCCTAGCACTCTGGGAGGCCGAGGCAGGTGGATCGCTCGAGGTCAGGAGTTCAAAACCAGCCTGAGCAAGAGCAAGACCCCATCTCTACTATGAATAGAAAGAAATTAATTGGCCCACTAATATATATAGAAAAAATTAGCCGGGCATAGTGGTGCATGCCTGTAGTCCCAGCCACTTGGGAGGCTGAGGCAGGAGGATTGCTTGAGCCCAGGAGTTTGAGGTTGCTGTGAGCAAGGCTGATGCCACGGCACTCACTCTAGCCTGGGCAATAAAGTGAGACTCTGTCTCAAAATAAAAATAAAAAAAAAAGTTAATGAAATGGAAAAATACTAAACTGCAATAGAGAAGAGGCTAATATTTCTAAAGAGTACCAAGATTCATGATGATTGGGTTTACTTGTGCCTTCTGGCAGGTTAATTTTGGAACAGAAACTGAATAATTTGGCGTTAAGCAAATAGGGGTATATTTCACAAAAACTAAGTAAGAAGCAAGTCTCTCTTATGAGAGATGCAGCACTGATGAAACCATTGTTGGGACATCATATATACTTACAGAGTCCAGGTTTAGGAATAATATTAAAAATTTGAGTCTAAAGAGAGCAACCAAATTTCTAAATGCTTAAGAAAAAAGCTGAAGAGCGAGTTCTCCCCAAAACACAGAAGATAAAGGGTGCTTCCTAGTGGTCCTCAAGCACGTGAAAAGCAGTGAGGTCAGCAGCTGTTCTCTTCCAGTGAAGACAGAATCAGAGGAAATGTGTTTCAATTGCAAGAAGATCAATTTGTTGCTTGGATCTACTTTTTAGATTTTATAAAAGCCTTTAATCTAAAGGGATCAAGGTGCTCAAATTAGACAAGATAGAATTTTCTAAGTTTAGCAAAAGCATAAAGGAGTGGCCCTTGGTGAAATTATAGTTACCATTTTCACAATTTTAAAAAAATGTATCCTGGCAAAGGACTGAAAAACTCTAGAGACAGTCATCGGTGAGGCCTCTCCCTGTGGGAATGGAAGAGGAATTTGAATGGGGATTGTCGAGAAGGAGCCCTGGGCTGCCGACTCAGGAAGGCTGGACTTCGTAACAGCTCTGCTGAGGTGATCTTCAAACGAGAAACAGTGGACCTTGAAGTGACGATGAGACATCAAGCTCCACATAAAGACAGAATTAGTCATAATTTGGGGCTCCTTGGCCATACTGAGGGCAAAAGCAGCAGGAGGAAAGGGCAGGGGAAAAGGCCACATCTCTGTGGTAGCCTTGGGGACCCTGTGACCTTAGGAACACATGTGACCTTCTGGATGGATGCTTGAGTGCAGCCTTTTGACTGAATCCAAATTTTACTGAAATTTACTGAATCCAACTGAAATTTGGATTCAGTTGACGGGCCCAACTTGGGGATCTGGGGGCCACATGTGGCCTTGAGGCTGTAGGTTTCCCACTCCTGCAAGGTGGACTCATGCTTTGGTCCAGGAGAGTCAGAAAAGAAAGTGCATCCCTTCTCCAGGGATTTGCCAAGCTCAGTGGAGCCTACCCTTGAAGAGAAGAATAGATACCCAAGCAAGCTTTGGAACGTACTGATTGTCCCAGGGAATTTTGCCCTAAGTACTGGAGATAAAATCTAAATGGCTCGAATAGCTATGAATCTAATCTGGCTTGGCCAGATTTATCCTAAACCTTAGAATCTAAGGCAGGGGTCCTCAAACTTTTTAAACAGGGGGCCAGTTCACTGTCCTTCAGACCATCGGAGGGCCGCTGGAGAGTGCGGTGCACATTCCACACATGCGCACTGTGGGCCTGAGACAAGTCGGCCGCTAAGCAGGACAGGCAGTGGTGGCAAAAACACCCAGCAGGCCAGATAAATGTCCTCAGCAGGCCGCAGGTGGTCCATGGGCCGTAGTTTGAGGACGCCTGATCTAAGGCAAGAACTGGGCTAGTGCTGGGGAATCTCCAAGAAGAAATTCAGAGAAGGCAGTAGGGCCATCCCCAGTCACCCTTCAGAGAGAAACCAGGGGGAAAACTGCTGTGGCCCCCAAGTTATTTCATGGCTCCAAATTCCCCCTGATTCTTGGTCATTCTATTCTATTCTAGCCCCTCTCTGTTCTGCTGTGATTAATCACACAGAGCAAAATGTTTCCAACAAGGAAATTGAGTGTGTATACAACACTTATTTTGTGAATAGCAATTTAAGAAAAATATTTGGAAACGGTGTCCAGCTTTATTCCTAGGACAAGAGGAGTCCACATACACAAGAAGAGGGAGAGAACAATAACTTCAAAGAAAATCAAATTTGTGGCAACTATGAGAATGAAAATGGAACCGAGAAGTGGCCCAGGAATTTAGCCTGCCGGACACTCAGCGCTCCCCCAAAAGCTCTCAGATCATGAAAGAAAAAATGGGAAGATCTGGAATCTCCTCCTGTGATGCTTTTTATAAATAGTATGGTATCACTCAACTTCAGGCACTCATCTGTCACTGTCAACCTGTTAGCCCCCTCCCCATGTACCACTCTCTATTTTTCTATGAATCAACATTTTAAAACTTAAATTAGGAAACAAGAAATTTTATATCATTGCCATGGTGAAGAAAGAGTATCATTTTCTAAATAAGAGATAAGTATAAAAATAAATCCAATGAAAACAAAAAGCCACTAAATTTTAGTTAGATGCCATTGACGGTTGAAGTCTCCAAGTGTGACAACGGGTGTTCACAGGGTGTCAAGAACATACTATGAAGACTTCTTCCTGCTAAACATGACTGAACCCATGTTTATTTCTTCTCACTCCTGAAGCCTCACTAAAATTCTAGTAAAGACATAAAATATTAATAGATACAAGTCCTCCAAGCAAAGAGAAAGGGAGAAGACATGAGTGGAAGAGCAACAGGAGCAAACTTCCGCAGGAAGGACGGCACACGGAGGAACAGTAGCTGAGTTTGAAGCCTAAGTGCCAGCAAAAGAAAGACCCAATGAAAACTGAGACCATCCTTACCCCAGATTGTCGAGAGGCTTAGGAATTGGGGACACCAGGTGCCCTGGGTCCCAAAGGCTGGAACAGACGACTGGCTGAAAGAATGCGTGAGGAAGACTTAGCAGCCTTCCACCTCCGCCTTCCAGCCCACCTCTACTCCCCATCTCAGAAGATGGGAGGTTTAGTGTCTGGAGAAACTGAACCAGAGAATCTCTGGGGGACCCCAGGAACCATGGAGGGTGGGGGCAAAGCTGTCACAGAAAACAGGGAGAATCCGCACATGGCACCGCAGGAAAACCTTCCTGCTTTTACCTGCCGCACTCCCAAAAGTCAGGCCTCTTATACCTATCCCCACCTCTCTCTTCCCAACCCCGAAGAAAGTTTAAAGAGTTTTCTCTAGAGAGAAAACTTCTCTACTTCCAGAAGAAGATGAGCTACATCCCCAAAGAAAGCTGCCTCCTGAGCAATCACCTTGTCACAAAGCCAACCACTGAGCAAGCCCCAGCCATGCGCCTGGAGCTTCCAGCTCACTCTCTATTGCCTCTTTCTCAAATTTGCACAGTCAAGAACCACCTGACATTTGAGTAAAGCCTCTAAGATCTCCTTTGCTCAGATCTCTCTGCTGGACCCTTGTCATTGTTTTGACCTCCTGATTCCAGAGAGCTCCAGGTTCAATGCTTGGTCCTCTTTTTCTTCCTTAGCTACACCCACTCCCGTAATGTAAATATATTCCTCTGGTAAAAATAAATATCAATTTATATTTGATAGGACATACTGGTGCCAAACCAATGCTTTCCACTTGACATAACCATAAGGATTTAAAGACAATTGAAATGTGGTTTCCCTGAAATGGGAATGACTTCTCATCATGTGGTTCATGTTATTTAAAATCAAGTACACACACACCTCTTAAAAGTAATCTGTGTACTACTAGTGGTATTTACCCCACACTTTAAAGCCTAGAGAATAGTCTGTAAAATCTTCCTTGGGGCAAGTGGATAATCAAGAGACCAGTGTCATCATCTCAAGGACCATGACCTGCCCAAATTGATTCAAGATGTAATAAAAAGACTGACTAGCCCAAGAATTATTAAAGAATGTGAGTTCCCATAATTTAAAATTTTTCCACAAGAAAAACATAAGTCCCAGATTATTTTAAGGCAAGTTCTACACAATTCTGAAGGAACGCATTCTTCTAACCTTATTAAAATTCTCTGAGGAAATAGAACAGGACGGTTCATCCTCCAACTCATTTGCAACTAGTACAATCTAGATATCGAAATGAAACAAGAACCATAAAACAAAGGAAAGGTACTGGCCAATCTCACTTGTAGACATAAATGAAAAATCCCAAAATGTAAACGAAAGAACCCAGCAATATATCAATGGTGATACATGCGATGTTTTTTTTTAAAGCACTTAGTTTTGGGAGATGAAATATAAAGGAAACCCTAGCATCTTGGAGCAGGCAAATTCGTGGTGTTTATGGTGGAACATTCTGTATGGGTCTGAAAAATCAAGGAGCACAAGATGATCAAAAACACTACGATTCCATGTGATCTGACAAGCTTTCTCATTCTTACAGGCGTCTGATTTGATGAAATGGTTCCTGGAGGAATGGACAGTGGATGATACTGACCCACCTCTGTTTTGAAGTAGAGAGGAAGAGATCAAGATAGAAAATTCTAGCATTACTTATCTAACCTGAAGCTACTGTACTCTCATGGGGCTGGAGGGGGCCTCTTGAACCAATCTGTCATGAGGGACATCGCAGTCCCTCCTAAGATCTCAGCCTTTTCTGTAAATACACCTGCTGATTTCATAATACAGATGGGTAGAGACTCTTATGCACTGGACCCTCCAAGCTTCATGGACTATGAGAAAGGTCTTGGCTGTGAAGAGTAGATGTTGCAATTGAATGCAGGGTATTACCCATACCTCTTCCCCCTAGTCAGGAATTGCGAATCTGTGGCAGGCACAGATCCCTGAAGGGTAGGAGAAGCAGTACTTACTGTGCTCGAAATATTCTCTCAAACTCTGGTGACCCAGTGACTGCTGGGGGCTTTACTTTATATTTTAATCTTGCCTTTCCGACATGCAAAGCAAAATAACCTGCAAGTAAAGGGGAACGTTGTGTTAAAGATGTGGCACATCATTAGTCAATAGTAAGATGCAGCCGGGCGCGGTGGCTCACGCCTGTAATCCTAGCACTCTGGGAAGCTGAGGCGGGCGGATTGCTCGAGGTCAGGAGTTCGAAACCAGCCTGAGCAAGAGCGAGACCCTGTTGCTACTATAAATAGAAAGAAATTAATTGGCCAACTAATATATAGAGAAAAAAATTAGCCGAGCATGGTGGTGCATGCCTGTAGTCCCAGCTACTCTGGAGGCTGAGGCAGGAGGATTGCTTGAGCCCAGGAGTTTGAGGTTGCTGTGAGCTACCACGGCACTCACTCTAACCTGGGCAACAAAGCGAGACTCTGTCTCAAAAAAAAAAAAAAAGGTAAGATGCAAATTTAAACCACAATTAGATACCACTACATACCTATTAGAATATCTCAAATTAAAATGACAAATCATACCAATTAATAAAGATAGACAGGCAAGGATGTAAGAGCAACTAGAACTCTCCTACACTGCTGGTGAGAATGTAAAATGGTACCACCACTTTGTAAAACAGTTTGGAAGGGATTTTGAAGTTAGACTTACATCAACCATATAACTCAGTCTTTCCACTCATAGGTATTTACCCACGAGAAATGGAAACATAAGTTCAAACAAAGACTTGTACACAAATGTTCACAGCAGCTTTATTTGTAATAGACCCAAATTAGGAACAACTTTGTGGTGGTTAATTTTATGTGTCAACGTGGCCTAGGCTATGGTGCCCCGTTATTTGGTCAAATACCAGCCTAGATGTTGCTGGGATATGATTAACATTTAATCAGTAGACTCTGAGTAAAGCAGATTACCCTCGATGTGTGGGTGGGCCTCATCCAATCAGTTGAAGGCCGTAAGGGGTAAGACTGAGATCAGCTGAAGAGGAAGGAATTCTGCCTCTGGGACTGCAACATCAACTCTTACCAGAATTTCCAGCCTGCCAACCTGTCCTGCAGATTTCAGACTTGCCAGCCTCCACAATCACACTGGGAATTCCTTAAAAGCTGTGTGCGTGTATGTGTATGTGTTTTGTGTGTGTCTATGTCTGAGTGTGTGCATTGACTCTGTTTCTCTGGGGTCCCTGACTCATATGGATGTCCATCAACAGATGAGTGGATAAACAAATTGTAATACATCCATATAGTGGGACACTACTCAACAGGAAAAGAGGAAGGACACAACTGTATCAACTCCCTTTAGAGGCAAAAAAAGAAAAGAAAAAAAATTTTTAAAAAAAGAGGAAGGAAAAATATTGATACATAAAACATGAATGATTCTCAAAATAATTATGCTAAATGAAAGCAAGAATTAAAAAGTACTATTCTATAATTTCATTTATATAATATTCTCATAAATGCAAATCAAACTATAGTGACATAAAGGAGACCAGTGGTTGCCTGGAGATGAGAAGGAGCACTGGGTTGGGGCACAAGAAAACTTTGAGGGATGATGGCTTCCATCCCTACTCAGTTTCCCTGTTATAAAACGGTCTGACTTTCTTCTCTTTCATTTGCTATCCAGAAGTTGCATTAGTTAATCAACGCTGATGCCCAGGATAGCCTTCTCTGATGATTAGGACTGTGGACTTCTTCCACTTCCAGACCCACACTTCCTCCTCTTTCCATTTCTGAACCTTCAATAGTTCTTGCCTCTGTCCTTCTCTCCCTCTTTTCACCCCATATCAACTTGTAGGATCCATTATTTCCCTTTGGATTATTTTTTCCAATGTCGTTTTCTTATCAGTTCTCTCCACCACCACTCCCCTGTCTCCCATATTTTAGTACAATAATAACCATTTCCTACTCACTCATGTTTTAAAAATGGCTTCCTTTTAAAATTCCATGCCAAGTTTGTAGCCTCAATCTCTCTGTGTGCTAGAGTATTAGGGGCAATGTGTTTCCTACTGAAACAGGATACTACTTCCCCTCTGACAAGGAGTCAGTCAATATTGATCCTGGCTTAGCAAGGGCTCTCAAAGCAGGCTGCTTCCCTTCCACTAATCCCCTTCTGCTCCAAATAAGCTGTTGTTTAGGATTTAAAATCTGTAGCTGAATATCTAAAGTGTGTAAATGCTTAGGAGTCTTTCTCATTCTAACTGCAGCCTGAGAGAGCAGAGTGAGGACAAGGACAGTGGGAGGGGAACCGACTGTTTTCAGCCCTGGGCTCCATCCTTCTAGGGCAGCATAAATCTGGACAGGCCAGTGGCTCCCTGGCCCAGCTGGAGCCAAGAAAGGGGATGTATCTGTTGAAGGAGAAATTGGGACTTGACCATTCTGGACCCTGCCATTACCATCGCTTCTAACTTGCTTCACAGCTTTGGAGAAAACATTTGGTGTCTTGTTTCCACCTATGAAATGGAAACAATGAAAGATGTGTGCTCTTAGAATTTATAAATTATTATTATTATTATTATTATTTTGAGACAGAGTCTCGCTTTGTTGCCCTGGCTAGAGTGCCGTGGCGTCAGCCTAGCTCACAGCAACCTCATCCTCCTGGCTCAAGCAATCCTGCTGCCTCAGCCTCCCGAGTACCTGGGACTACAGGTATTCGCCACCATGCCCGGCTAATTTTTTCTGTATATCTTAGTTGGCCAATTAATTTCTTTCTATTTATAGTACAGACGGGGTCTCGCTCTTGCTCAGGCTGGTTTCGAACTCCTGACCTCAAGCAATCTGCCTGCCTCGGCCTCCCAGAGTGCTAGGATTACAGGCGTGAGCCACAGCGCTCAGCCTAGATTTATAAATTAGCAATGACACAAGAGCCTAGAGCTTCAAAATGAAGCTGTGAATAAGTAAGAGCTTTGAAAGTGCGGTCTTTCTCTAGGCTAATAGCATCCGGTAGGCATTGGTCTGTGACACTAGCATATGGGAGGAAGGAGCTTCAGCAAACAGCAGAGGTGTTTTATACCCCCACCAATCCAAGCCCGCCTCAAGAAGGAAAACTCAGCTGGACTCAGCACCAGCCCCAAGGGGTAGAAGACCCCTTCTGTTCTCTTGAAAACACCCTCTATAAAATTAGTAAAGGGCCACAAGTGGGAACTATAGTAGGGGAAATGTGTATATAACCGGTCATTGTTCCTTAGCTTGCTTTCCTATAATTGCTTACTACTCATAGCTGGTCATAAAGATTCTTAGCTTTCTTGGCTGCTCCCACAGACCACATCGCCCTTGTGAAACCTAAGGCTAGCTTTTGAGATATCTTCCAGGCCCTGCATTCTGGTAGAATGTCTGACCCACACAGTCCAGTCCAGTGGCCCATACCAAGGAACTCACTCAACTGGTCTTGCGACCTGGCAACTGACTCAGCACAAAATGACAATTTCTGCTTCCAGACCCTATCAGTTCATCCCCAGCCAATCAGCAGACCCAGTTCCCTAGCGCTTTGCCTGCCAAAATATCTTTAAAAATCCTTTCTCCCAAATCCTCGGGGAGACAGATTTGAGAACTTCCTCCTCTCTCCTCCATTGGCACCTGTGATATTAATCTTTCTCTGATACAGGACGTGTCTCACACAAGGAGGAAACAGGAAGTGTCCTGCACAGGGGAGAAACAGGAAGCAGGCCTGCCTTAGGAGAGAAACAGGAAGTGTCCAGCACGGGAGAAAAACAGGAAGTCAGCCTATCTCAGGAGAGAAAATGTCCTGTAGAGGGAGGAAACAGGAAGTGAGTGTCCTGTACAGAGGAAAAACAGGAAGTGAGCCTATCTCAGGAGAAAAACAGGAAGTGTCCCGCACAGGGAAGAAACAGAAAATATCCTGCACACAGAGGAAACAATAAGTGTCCTGCACAGGGGAGAAACAAGAAGTGTGCCTGCCTTAGGAGAGAAACAGGAAGTGTCCCATGCAGGGAGGAAACAGGAAGTGTCCTGCACAGAGGAAAAACAGGAAGTGAGCCTGTCTCAGTAGAGAAACAGGAAGTGTCCTATACAGGGACAAAATAGGAAGTGTCCTGCACATGGGAGAAACAGGAAGTATCTTGCACACGGAGGAAACAGGAAGTGTCCCAAACAGGAGAAACAGGATGTGTGCCTACCTTGAGAGAAACAGGAAGTGTCCTGCATAGGGAGGAAACAGGAATTGTTCTGCACAGGGGAAAACAGGAAATGTCCTACACACAGAGGAAATAGGAAGTGTCCTGCACACAGAGGAAACAGGAAGTGTCCTGTTCAGGGAGGAAACAGGAAGTGTGTCTGCCTTAGGCGAGAAACAGGATGTCTGAATACCTAAGCCATCAAGTTGCTTTGGGTAAAGATTCTCTCTGGCTTAGTATTCCCTCTATTAGCCATTCATCATATTATGTTGATAATGACCCTCTGTCTTTTCAGTATGTACTCAGTAATTCAGAACAGTAATAACTTGGGCTGATAGTGAATTCCTTTTTGTGTAATAAACTGAAAATTACAAAATGTTAAGTATGTTCTTCAAGCATGGAATATTAAATCTGTAAAATTCCAAAAAAAAAAAATACATAAAGTTTCTCTGCTGTCTCAGTATATTGGCTTCCTCTTGCGCTATGGGAAATGCTGTAACACTCTCAGGTCAGGGGCCTCAAAGAGACCAAGGCTATCATTGGGACAACATGATGAGAATGGAAAAGCTATTTCACCTCTTTTTCTGGAAAGCTTCAGTTTTATTTCCCTTCTTATGAGTTGATTAAAACCAACTGAGAATAATCTCCTTTTACTTCGCCTGTCTTTCCTCTTTTTTCTAGCTTTCTCCAGAAAAAAAAAGGGTGTTTGAAGGTTAAAGATTTTCATACATTCACAAAACAGACCACTAGGCAAGACACCACGTGTGCATGAAGGCCTGAACTTGAGCCTTAACTGTGGTGCAGTCATGCTTCCGGCTGTTTGTATTAACCTGAGCATTCTTCAGCTCGGCCCTGTTTCCTGGTACATGCACACTTGGAAAAATAAAGAGATAGGCATACTTGGTAAGAAGTCTTGCTCACTTATGGTCAGATACTTTTCCCCATCTAACCCAGTAAGTAAAGTAATAAGAATTGAGCAAATGTGACTCCTGTAGAGAAAAACTTCTTTATTTAACCAGGTAGTCGGGATATGGAACAATCCTAGTGGGAAGGTGTTTTTAAAAAGTAGAATTAATTACCTAATCTAAAGCTTATATTTCTGAAGATTTTTTAAACCTAATAATCATACCAGCCATAGGCAGTTTATTTAAGAAAACACATTAATTAAAGATCAGGACTCAGGAAATCATAACCAGGTTTAGAAGCAGGAACAATGTCACCTTTGGAACACTCCTAATGAATGTTTATACCCCACTTCCCCCAGATTAGCACACTTCTAATGCTCCTTTGAACTGGGCTGTGAGTTTTGACCTCAGATGAGGCAGAATCACTGAGCTCTGAGGGCCCACAACATCCCTGTTGACAGAAATTATCTCTGGAATGTTCCCAATCTCTGTTTGTCCGAGGAAGGAGGTTAAGCAGGCTGACGACCCTGAGCAGACTGCTCTGGGGAGGACCCAAGGCCACCAGCAAGAGCAAGCAGGAAACAAGTCTAAACCCAAACACTGGACCGATCTCTCTCTCCCTCCCTCCTCTCTCTTTCCCTCCCTCCTCTCTCTCTCCCGCCCTCCTCTCTCTCTCCCGCCCTACTCACTCTCTCTCTCTCTCTCTCTCTCTCTTTCTGTCTCACTTTCCCTGCACCCCCCCTCCCCCACCAAGTCTCTTACTTTGCTGACAGGCAGAGAGAACAGAGACAGCAGCCAGCAGGATTGAATTCCCGGTCATCTTTCACAGGAACCGTTCTGGTTCACAGAACTATTTGTAGAAAGCAGGGGAAGATAAGAAGCACTTTTGACTTTGCTAGGCTGACCTTCCTTATCAAGTAAACAAAGTTGGGGAAGAAAAAAAAAAAAAAAAGGCCGATTCAAGCGGCTGAGTGCCCTTTGCTCTGGAACAGAAACCAGGAAGGCTGGCAGGTCTGGGGCTGCCAGTCTCAGATCCCAGATCCTTATCTGGCCTGGGAGTTGCTTCCTGAATTTGCTTGAAGCCTCTGCCCAGGCCAGCCCACAAGGCTGCAGCTCAGCCCCAGGATTGGCCCTCGGAGAACAGCACTGCAGTTCAGCCACTTTCTCCACCAATTCACAGACTCCCTGGGCCCCTTCCTTCCCCTGTTCCCTCCCCAGACCTAGCTGAGACCTTTCTCACCTGCCATGCAACAGTAAGAAGGAAGCACTTTCTTAATCGTACTGAAATTTTAAATACTAATTTGAGCCAATTCTAACTTTATTCACCCAGTCATTGGCAGGATTTGAACCCCGTCTGCAGATTCCAACTGTGCCCAATCCCCAGTACCATGCTGCCTCCGGCTTCACCTGACTCCCCTGATCATAACGACCATATGTTTCTTTAAAAATAAACCAGGGCACATGTTCTGAGGGGGAAGAGGGCCCTAGAGGAAAGAAGTGGACCAATATTTAAGTTAAGCCTCTAGTAGGAAACACAGTGAACAGTGGCCAGCACACTGGCCCAGGGCCTATCCACTGTCAGGGCCAAGGCCACACACCACCCAGGGCCAGCAGTCCGCCCTGTTAGGTCTGGAGCAGGGAGACGCTGGAAGCCTCATGTGTAGCAAAATGCTGTTTATTTTGAGTATCTGGGTGCAGCTGGGTGGAGGCGAGGCAGGGGAAAGCCTTGGGTTTTATAGAGGGTCTCTCGGGGTGGGGGAGTGAGCAACACCTGCAGAGATAGGGGAGGGGGTAGCTTCAGTCCTTATCAGGGGGGATAGGAATGCCTGCGTCCCTGCAGCTGTCTGGGGTCAACAGTTAGATTTATGACCTTGGACTCTCCAGACTCCTGTGGCTTTTGTTTCACAGGCTTTATGATGTTTTTCAGGTCCCCACCCCTCTGTCAACACAATTGTTTTGCTCTTTAAAGACATAGCTTCCCAAAACCCAAAGCTGGGGCCCCTCCCTCGCCCCATCCCTCAGCTCAATTAGAGGGAGTGTCACTGAGGTTGCTGTAACAAAGATGCCCTGAGACTAGGAGGCTGACACAACAGCAACTTATTCCTCACAGTTTTGCAGGCTGGGGGCCCCAGCCCCTGGTGCTGGCTGATCGGGTTCCTGGGAAAGGGAGGGCGCTCTTCCTGGTGTGCGGAGGGACACCTTCTTGCTGTGCCCTCACACTGAGGAGAGGAAGTGCAAGCTCCTAGGTCACCTCTTATAAGGGCTCAGACGCCAACATGGGGGCCCATCCTCACAACCTCATCTAAACCTAATTATCTCCCAAAGGTCCGACCTCCTAATACCATTGCCTGGGGGTCAGGGGCTCAACATATGAATGAGGGGGGGGGGGGTGGCACACAAACATTTAGTCCCTCACCGGGAGCTCCTAGTGCCTGATGAGAAGGTCAGTTGCCCAGCCTCACACAGACCCTAACGTTTCATTATGACAAAACCTTGGGCAAGATTCTGAGCCTCTTGAGCTTAAGTTTGATAACACAGGGCTAATCAGGGCTGAAGGGAAGCTTAACTGAAATAGGCCTATTATAAGCATTGAATTAGTTAATAGTTATAAAGCACTTAAAATAGCACCCAGCATATGAAAGTGTGTTCTGTGTGTTTGTAAAATAAACACATAAAGTATTTTTAAACACTAGAAAAGTATTTAGTATAAGTGGGGGTGAGGGGAAACTTCCCCTTTCCCCCTGAAAGTTCACTGCAAGATCAACTCACAATAATGGCAGATTAATAAAAGGAAGCATTTTATTAACTGTGCACACAGGGAGAATCACAGAGTGACCACCCAATGGGTTCCACATATTTTTAGACCTCTTTTTAGAGGAGATGAGGAATCTAGGTAATTCTGTTTAGGGGCAATAAATGGTTGCTAGGGATGAAAATGGACGGGGGAAACAGACTGACTTATATAATAAATGATTCTTTTTGCAAATTAAACTAACCTTGAGAGACAAGTATTATATTTAAAATTATTTGGGCCAGGTCTGGTTGCATTCTTGATTTTCTTTCCTACAATACAGTGAGATAACAAGGAAGGGAAGGGAAATCCATTGTTCTTTTAATGGGGAAGGGTCCATCTGGTTATGCAGATAGAGGCAAAGCTCCTTCTAAGGGCCTATTGATCTCTAAGGGTCTTTAATTCAAAATACTCTTTATACCAAGGAGTCGTATTTTGCAGTGAAATTTCCTGAGCTCCTTCACATATAATGTACTTAATGTCAAAAGATATTTTCAAAGGTAAAAACCATGCCTCTTGTACAATATAAAATGAAAACACACCAAAAATTTTATTTAACTCATTCATGAGGGAGCCAGCAAGATGTTATATAACCAGTTCAGAGGAGGATTCAAGGAACCACACATACATGGGGAATAAGGAATGACAAAATCTATAAATAGTTGCAAGCCAACTCTGCTCACAGGGCCTTGTTGATCTCTCTGGGTTCCCTCTGCACTCATTTGTTCTTGAAATCATTGAAGACTGAGATTACACATGAAGACAGATCTTGGAAGTCCAAGGGCAGCGCTGAAACTTTCCTGTGTACTCAGTTTCAAGGTTTTGGCTTTCAGTACATCGCAGGGATTCTAAGCTACAAACCAGCTGCCCTGAACCCATATCGCCATCTACTAAAATAACCTCCCAAAACGACAGCCTCAAAGGAGAGGTCTGGGCTGGGTCTGTGGGCAGACAGAGGCTCTCAAAGCAAGAGAACCACTCACAGAAAAAAACGGCAGAAGCAGGAGCTGAGTGGGCAAATGTGGCCCTGGGGCTGATGGATGCAACCGTTGGGTGTCTGTAATTCCTGTTTTGAGAAACTCTTGAGTGCACCCACACTGATGAACTGGTTTAAGGAAAACAAAACAAACAAAAAAAAAAAAACAGCAACAACTCCAAAATGAGCTTGTTTGGTTCCCCACTGAATTGCTTCTTCACTTTCTGGACAAATCCTAATGTTCCCTGCAGACTTCTCCCAGCCAATCCCAGTCAGCCCCCAAATCTAGGTCCTAGAAATGGTTGATACAAAATTTTAAAAAGTGCCTCAAATTGGAGCTTTGGATAATGAAATGTTTATCACCTTCTCCAGTGATCAAATTTCCCAGATGATCCCATGATTGAAATACTGCCATGATTGAAATAGCATTAACAAAAACCAACACAAATTAGAGTTTCTCTATACATTTTCCCTGTGTTTGTTGAAATGGAATGGCATTTTCTCTGAATGTAGTACACGTGGATCCTTCCAGTATGTGTTCCATATATTCCATTTTTGTTAAGAAAAATTAGGCCAGGCGCGGTGGCTCAAGCCTGTAATCCTAGCACTCTGGGAGGCCGAGGGGGGCGGATTGCTCAAAGTCAGGAGTTCGACACCAGCCTGAACAAGAGCGAGACCTCATCTCTACTAAAAAATAGAAAGAAATTAATTGGCCAACTAAAAATGTATGGAAAAAAATTAGCCGAGCATGGTGGCAAATGCCTGTAGTCCCAGCTACTTGGGAGGCTGAGGCAGAAGGATTGCTTATGCCCAGGAGTTTGAGGTTGCTGTGAGCTAAACTGATGCCACGGCACTCTAGCCAGGGCAACAGAGTGAGACTCTGTCTCAGAAAAAAAAAAAAGAAAAATTAGTGGTTAAACAGCATGTTCATAATTGCTATGATTTGAATATTTCCTCCAAAACTCATGTTGAAATTTAATTGCCATTGTGATGGTATTAAGAGGGGACTGTCAGAAATAGTTCAGCATCTGTGGAAAGCAATATGGAGACACTTTAAAGCAATACAAGTCGATCTACCATTTGATCCAGCAATCCCATTACTGGGCATCTACCCAAAAGAACAAAAGTCACTCTATGAAAAAGACACCTGCACTCGAATGTTTATAGCAGCACAATTCACAATTGCAAAGCTGTGGAAACAACCTAAGCGCCCATCAATACAGGAGTGGATTAATAAAATGTGGTATATGTATACCATGAAGTACTATTAAGCTTTAAGAAACAACAGTGATATAGCACCTCTTGTATTTTCCTGGTTAGAGCTGGAACCCATTCTATTAAGTGAAGTATCCCAAGAATGGAAAAACAAGCACCACATGTACTCACCAGCAAATTGGTATTGACTGATCAACACCTAAGTGGACATATAGGAGTAACATTTATCGGGCGTTGGGCAGGTGGGGGGGGAAGGGAGGGGTATATACATACATAATGAATGTGATGTGCACCAACTGGGGGATAGACATGCTTGAAGCTCTGACTCGAGGGGGGAGGGGGGCATGGGCAATATACGTAACCTTAACATTTGTACCCCCACAATATGCTGGAAAATTTTTTTTTTAAAAAGAGGGGACTGTCGGGTTTTAGTCTGGAATGTCAGTTCTTAGTGCGCTCATGGCCAAAGAGTAATCAGACACACCAAAGTAAGGCAAGCAAGAGTTGAGGTTTATTGAGGGTTAAAGAGCAAGAGCAAGACATAGGTTTGCAAAGCATGATACATACACCACAGATGACAACCAGACCCCTTGTCACAGCAGGAAAACAGAGCTAGGTTATGATCTGGGCCTTGTTTTAAGGTGTCTGGATAGGGACCTCCCCATGGTTCAAATGTCACCATGGAACGACTTTGATTGAACAGGTCAGGAGCTGCATGACCTGAGTCTTAGTGGTATGTGGGTTCTAGGTCACTTTCCAGACTTTATGGTGCCCATGCTGCTTGGCCTGTGGGCTAGAGAGTCCTCTGCATTCTTTTGCAGCTGGTGTGTCAAGTTCTGATTGGCAGATTTGTAGGTTATTCTCTCCTTCCCCAGATATGGAGAATTAGGGTTGGGCAGCACCAAGATGGGAGCAACAGCACCCACTTTCATTCCTAGGAGACCTGGAATCCCCCACCATCTACCTAACAGGATCACTGAGAAGTGATTAGGCCATGAGGGCATCAGTGAATTAATGTCTGTATCACAGAAGTGGGATCCTGATAAAAAGTGAGTTTGGCCCCCTCTGTTCCTGCTGTCACACTCTCTTGTCCTTCTGCCTTCTGCTATGGGATGACGCAGCTCTAAGGCCCTGGCCAGATGCCTTGATATTAGACTTCCCAGCCTCCAGAACCATGAGAAATAAAATTCTTTTCTTTATGTCAACAGAAAACAAAGTCTGTAAAATAATTTAAGAAGGTTTATTCTGAGCCAAATATGAGAACCATGACCCAGAGCCACACCCAAGAAGCCTTGAGCAAGTGGACTCGCTGTGGCTGGATTACAGTTGGTTTCATGCATTTCAGGGAGACAAGAATTACAGGTAAAATCATAAATAAATACATGGAAGGCATACATTGGTTTGGCCCAAAAAGGTGGAACATCTCAAAGCAGGGGTTTACAAGTCATAGGTGGGTTTAGGGATTCTTTAGTTGACAATTGGCTGAAAGAGTTAGGCTTTGTCCAAAAGAGTAGGAATCAAGGAATGCTTGAGTTGGATAAGGGTTTTCTATCTTTTATGTGATGCTATACTGGAATCAGGTTGGGAAGTGAATCACATCATAAACACCTGTTTATTGAGCTTTTATCATTTGTAGGCATGACTCACTAGGCCCCCTTAGAAAGGAAATTTATGCACAAAGAAAAAGATCAGTGTTCAGTCCTTAGTAAATTACCCAGTCTATGATATTCTGTTATAGCAACAGCACAATGGGCTGAGACAGTAATAATAGTAAAATTTTTTTTAAAAATATTTCTATTATCTATATAAACTCAAAAGTATCCTTTAAGAGTTTCTAAAGGTTTACTTTATTATTTGATAATTGTTACCAAAATTGTACTCTGGATATGGCAAAACAGAGAAGCCAAGGTAATACAAAAATAGCCCTGAACCATGTGAAAGAACAGCATTTATAAAATGTAAACTCTAAATGTAACTATTTCTGTGATTTTGGTGATAGAAGAAAACAAATGCTATATTAAACTACAGAAATGTTTTTCCTCAGGCCAATTGCATCCCCCAAATTATTCGCTGGCCCAGCCCTCTCTCTGTTCTCTCCCTACCTGTCCCAAAGCGACAGCTCATCATCCTGGTTCCTGCCAAGCCCTGCAGTGGGCTGTCTGTCCCTGCTGCCAACAGGCTGGGTGACAGAGAGAGACAGGGATGCCCAGAAATAATCAGGGTGATCATGCTATCAATGACCATCATACTGGCGACTGAAAAATAGACCACGTGCCCAGAGTATATCACATTATCTAGCTGCAGGTCCTGACTCATTGAAGAATCTTATAACAACACAGCAAGTTTTTAAGTAAAACTCAGATTAACAAAATTTAAAAGTATGCCCCATTTTGCTACATATTGCAAAAATTTAGACAATTGGAGTAATCCCACAGAATATTTTATCCCCTTTCAGAAATGGGAATATTTTGCTCTGTAACCCATGGCGTGAAAAACCAACCTAGAGAGGGCAAAAGCTTTTTATCTCCACTGGGACATCTGCCCTGGGACAAACAGGTTTGGTTACAATCAGATTCCAGCAAGTCTCTGGCAGAAACTATCACCCCAAACCAGGAAGGGCTCAGGATAGAGAAAAAAGAAGAGGAGAAAGGCAAGGAAAATAAAGATCAGTTTCCAGGGTCGTGTAGGAAAAAGGAGGGCAAGGTTTGAGCTGGTGATCCAAGCTCATATCTCTGGGCAGTGGTGGGCAAGTTGCCAAACTTCCCTGGACGTGTCTTTTCAAAGACAAATAATAATACCGACCGTGCAGGGTCCTCCGGCAAGTAAATGAAATAATGTGAGGGAAGCAAATGACCCAGAACGCAGCATAGGGTGGGCTGTCCACAGATGTCACCCCACACATACCCTCCAACCCTGGGTGGGCACAGAAGAGCCTAGAACTGTTTGTTGAAAAGGTCATATTACAAAGCAACAGAGGATCCTAGTGTTAGGTCCGGAGCTGAGAGGGACACACGAAGCCTCATGTGTAGCAAAACGCTGTTTATTTTGAGCATCTGGATGCAGATGGGTAGAGGCCGAAAATGGCGTCCCCCCTGAGGAAGGGGAAAGCCTTGGGTTTTGTAGAGTGAGGGGGAGTGAGTACCTGGGCCAGAACAGCCGCTGCGATAAATATATTTTATTAAACAACCAATTTCTGGGACCCCTGAGTGTCAGTCTCATCCTGTAGAGACAAGGGAGGGGGTAGCTCCGTCCTTATCAGGGGCGATCGGAATGCCGGCCACAGCTGTCTGTGATGTTTAAACCTCCGGGGACTCTCCGGACTCCTGCAGCCATTTTTTCGCAAACCTCAGTTTCCCATTAAGCGCATTCTATCCTATACATACTTTTCGAGTCCCCACCTGGAACAAACCTAACACTTAGGATGCCGTTATAATTTCCGAGGCTGCACAGAATTCCCAGATGAATGGAAACAGAGCATCTGAATTGCTGTGAAATGGCATTGACAGTAACAGAGGGTCTCAGCCTGAGTTGTCTTAAGTTTGCATAAGGCTTAGGAGGGGATGAAATACAGCGGAATCTAGAGACTAGAGAGGAGAAACACAAATCCTCATTTCTGACAACTCTCAGCACACGCAGCCCTGCCTGCACACACAGTCACACTCGCACACATGTGCTCACACACAAACACACTCACGTCCAGATTCACACACATTCATACACACACTCACATGTACACCCCAAACATACATGCACACATTCAAAACACACACCCACAGACCCACACAACTCATGCACATACTCACACACTCACATACTCTATCAACATTCATGTTCCAAAAGGGGATTTATAAGCTGCATGTTTAGACTGCAGAACACTTATTTTCGCAGAATATTATAAGTGGTGGCCGTGTTTCCAGGTCGCTACACATTAAACAGAATTAAGTTAGGTAGCATACTGCATATTGGCAATTGAGCAACAACAACAAATGAAACGAATACTATTGGTTTGTCTTTTTCATTTAATCATTACTAATTTTTTAAACCGAATAGCATTTTGCATTAAATGCTTTAAAACAGGATCATTGGCATGAACTCCCCGCTCCGGCCCCTGTGAATCATGCTCGGAACCTGACTCATAAACTTGCTGGGACCAGAGCAGCCAGGGACAGCAGAGCCTGGATCCCAGAGGGCCGGGGTGCTCTGGGTGGGCCCAGGGCTCCTGAGAGGGGCTCGGTCTGCCAGAGCCTCTGATGTACCCCGCCCCCACCCCTGCCAGCTCCCAAACCCAGCCAACAGAGGGCAGTGTGCCAGGCTCCATGCCGACCATTGTACAGAATTATCTCAACCAACCTGCATCACCAGACAGTAAAGTATACATTATTCCCATTCTTCAGATGGAGAAACTGAGGCTCAGAGGTTAGCAACTGGCCCCAAGTCAGTACGGCCCAGTCTTGCTGCCCTCAAAGCCTTTGCTCTTAACTTTGGCTGCGTATTGGAATCACCTGTGGGGCTGCTAAAACCCCACCTAGACTGGCTCAGATTCAGCCTGAGCACCTGAATGTCTTTAAAGCTCCCCAGAGGATTCTGATGCCCAGCCATGTGCAGAACCACTGTCTTCACCAGCATTTCTCAGTGTAGTCCATACCACCATGCAGATTTCTGGGCCTTGTCTAGGGTTATTACACACCAGCTCATCACACGTGGTCTCACGGAAAACTCCCATGATGTTGTGAATTATTCCTCTTTCACAGATCAAAAAGCTGAGACCCAGAAAGCTTGAGCAGTTTGCCCCAACTGTCACTCTGTTTCACTGAGTCTCAAAGAGGGAAGATCAGGTGGTGGGGTTGAGGGGATGAACAAGCTGGCAGAAGCCAAAGTGAGCATCAGTGGTGCAGGGTGGCGGAAGGGTGTGGAAGGTTCTATGGCAGCAGAGGGAAGAGGCGAGGCTGGAAGGAAGGGGACCTGAAGGCCTCAGGGTGCAGCCCAGGAGGGAGGAACGCTGGAAGAATGCAGAGGTTTCCACTGGAGGAAGTGGCGGGTGCCTGGGTGGAGGAGGGAGGAGCAGACAGTCAAGGGAGGGAAATCTGAGGCTGAGATGGGCGGGGTGGGGCTCCGAGGCACCGGTGGGCTAAAGTATGGCCTGTGTCTCAGCTAACCCGGCCCCTCCTCACCCACTGGCTTCGATGTGCATCTAGACTGATGGTTGTCACGTTAGAATCACCAAGGGCAGTTTTTAAATAAACACCAATTTCACTGAGAAGTCTCTCAGATTTTTTGACACCAGGATGGCCAACTGCTGCCTCAGAGAGCGTCCTGAGATATCTGTGCACCAACGGAGAAGAGCTGACATCCCAGACCCCAAACATGGCATTTCTCTGCAGCTTGTCCTTAAGGTGTAGGTATTATTTGGTCTCTCATGCATTGCCCAGGCTCCTTCCTTAGGCATCCTATGGGGACGGTAACGAAATCCACCACACGGATGGTGACGAGTGATCAGGCAGTGAGAGGGCAGTGTGGCTTCCCTTGGGGTCTCTCTGGGGCTTGTTAACGCAAAAGCAAAAGGGCAAGCTATCCTCCTCTTGATGAGAAAACACAAAAGGCTGGCAGATTAAGAGCAGTTAAAAGCAGCTCTTATTCACGTTGAAATGTAGAACGAGACCTGCATCTGGCCTGACACGCCAAACAACGGTAATTGCAACGCGGCGCAAGCCTGTTAGAACACGACTCGCAGAAACACCGTCTTGACTAGACCACAGGCCAAGTTATGTCCTGCATAAAGAGAAATGTAACAAAACGAAATGAGAAACGTACCAGCCCGCCCACAGGAAAGCCCCAGACTAACACTGGAGACTGGCAGGCCTGTGACTGCTTTGTCCAGCTACCTTAGCAAGGCAAGAAAAGACTTCAAACATGGGATACCTGCTTTTCTCCACTTTTCTTGTTCTTTCTTTTTGTTTATCCCTCCTGCTTTCCCTTAGATCGTGCTTGGTGCTTGCCTTTGTTTCTCGGACTTTCTCAGCAAAGCATCCTCAGAATGTCAGTCTCAGGCAGTTCCCAGGCAAATCTATCCGGGACAGGAACTGCAAAGAAAACAGCTTCATCCGCCCTTCCATGCCCTCCACCTCCACGAGCCCATTTCTCGGTCTCTTCTCAGAGGCCCCGCCCTCGGGGCAACTAATTTCATCCCTAAAGTGTGGTAGGAGGATTCTAACAGGCACACACATTCAGAGCTGAGAACTGCAGCTTAAAGTGCCGTTTCTATCAAAATAATACATTTTGTCAAACCACTAGGGGGAGTAAATCCCAGGTTGCCGGACCTCTGGCATTCAACACCACGGGAGATAGCTGCAGCTTCAGGACAAGCCTCCCTCTGAGTCTCAGCTTTCCAGAGGTCCCTAAGAATGCACGTCTGCAAAATGGAACAAGTTAGTTAACAGAAACTGCCAAAATCATTTCTAAACAATGCCCTATAAAAATTCAGTTTTTCAGAGATCAACAAATTGATCATTTAACACAGACAATTGCTCAAAACTACAGGTGCTAAAATATAAAAATACCAGGGTGGGCAGTGCAGTGGCTCACACCTGTTATCCTAGCACTTTAGGAGGCCGAGGCGGGAGGATCCCTTGAGCTCAGGAGTTAAGACCAGCCTGAGCAAGAGCAAGACCCGGTCTCTATAAAAAATAGAAAAATTAGCTGGGCTTGGTGGCTTGCACCTGTAGTCCCAGTTACTCAGGAGGCTGAGGCAGGAGGATTGCTGAGCCCAGGAGTTGGAGGTTGCAATGAGCTATAATGATGACACTGCACTCTAGCTGGGGTGACAGAGTGAGACCTTGTCACAAAGAAAGAAAGAAAAAATACCAGGATATAACCCTTAGTCCTAATCCACTCAAAACTAGACACAAGCCAAACACAGACTCTGCCACGGAGACATTCCATGAAGAAAGGATCTCGAGGCCGGGCACGGTGGCTCTCGCCTGTAACCCTAGCACTCTGGGAGGCTGAGGCGGGCAGATCGCTCAAGGTCAGGAGTTCAAAACCAGCCTGAGCAAGAGCGAGACCCCGTCTCTACTATAAATAGAAAGAAACTAATTGGCCAACTAAAAATATATAGAGAAAAAATTAGCCGGGCATGGTGGCACATGCCTATAGTCCCAGCTACTTGGGAGGCTGAGGCAGAAGGATTGCTTGAGCCCAGGAGTTTGAGGTTGCTGTGAGCTAGGCTGACGCCACGGCACTCTAGCACGGCAACAGTGAGACTCTGTCTCAAAAAAAAAAAAAAAAAAGGAAGGATCCGGAAAAGGACACTTTGAATTAGGAAACTGTGAAGAGGCAGCAAGGAGGGGTGAGAAAAGACAAAAGCGGTCTCATCTGGTAGACACAATCACCAAGGGGGATGTCCCATTGTTTGGTACATATTCTGAGGAATCAGACACCACACCTTGGACTTTGATTTGATTTTCTGATGTACCTCTGACTTCTAGAGTGGCTTGGTTAAAAAAGAAAAAAAAACAAAAGTACTCTGCATAGTACTTTGCACAAACTCTTTGGAAAGGAGTGTGTCAGAGAGCTGGGCTGGCCTGGAGAGAGCTCCCCTCACACTGGCATGAGGGTCCTGCTTTGCAATGACAGAGACAAATCTAAAGCAGGGACAGGAAGGAACCAGAAAAGATTGTCAAGAATACATATAAGTAGTATTTGCCCAGTCATGCCTTCATTCACCAAATGCACTGAGCACCTAGCACATGCCAAGCTCTGCACCAAGTGCTGGGACCAGGAAGAGCAAGACAGAGTTCACAGCTGAATGAGGAGGACAGACATTAACAAGCCATCACAAAGCTAATTAATTCACGATCACTGTGATGAGTGCTGTAGGGGAGAAGTCCCAGGTGCCAGGGGAGGGTATGTCAGGGGGCCTAACCCAGTCTGGGAGGCTAGAAGAGCCTTCAGAGAAGGGACATGTTAGCTATGTGAATGGTGTCAGGTGCGTGTGTTGGAAGGGGGACAGGAGGGAGAAAGGGGAATGATCCAGGCTGGGGAACAGCAGCAAATGGCCTGCAGAAGGGAAGCCCAGTGTGACTGTTGCCTAGAGACTAGGGATGGAGCAGCAAGTGGTGAGCCAGGGCCAGCTCACACAGGCCATGTTAAGTATGCTCACTTCATTCTAGAGGTCTCAACCTGGGATGATTTTGTCCCCCGGGGACGCTGGGCCATGCCCGGAGACATTGTTACTTAGCAGCTGGGGAGTGGGGTGCTACTGGCATCTAGTGGGTAGAGACTAGGGCTGCTGCTGAATAGCTCGCATTGCACAAGGCAGCCCCCTCACCAAAAAACCACCGTGCTCAAAATGTCAGTAGAGCTGCAGTTGAGAAGCCCCGTTTTACAAGGAAGATGTGAAGCCAGTTGTCGATTTTAAGCTGGAAGTTTTCATGATGAGATTTGTTTCAAAAAGATCACTCTGGGTGGGCACAGTGGCTCACACCTGCAATCCCAGCACGCTGGGAGGCCGAGACAGGAGGATGGCTTGAACTCAGGAGTTCAAGACTAGCCTAAGCAAGGGGGAGACCCAAGCTCTACCAAAAAATAGGAAAAAATTAGCCAGGTGTGGTGGCATGCACCTGTAGTCCCAGCTACTCGGGAGGCTGAGGCAGAAGGATCACTTGAGCCCAGGAGTTTGAGGCTGCACTGAGCTATGATAACGCCACTGCACTCTAGCCTGGGCAACACAGCGAGACTCTGTCTCAAAAAAAAGAGGTCACTCAGAAGCCAGTGTGCACTGCTAGGGTGGTAACACTAGTGCAGATATGAAGGGATCTATTAGGAAAGTGTACTGTGGTCTGGGCAAGAGGATGGCAACCCAGCCTAGGGAAATGTCCATGTAGTTAGGGAAAAGTGAATGGTTGAGACAGAGATTGAAAAGAACAAATAATTGGACTTGGGGACAGACCGGTTGTTGAGGGTCTCTCAGCCCAGGCCTTCTAAGAGCCAGAGGCGAGGCGTGATGCTGAATTTGCACGGTGCCGCATCAGGGCAGCAGGAGTGCAGGAGGGATAGAGGGAGGGAAGTGTGGCAGGGGACAGAGGGAAGCAAAGCGTGTCCACCTGGGCCAGGGCTTCAGGTGAGCTGGGGTGACACACAGACGGACACTGCACAGGCACCCCCAGCCGGCACTCAGGAGACGGGCGGACGGGTTGTATGGAGAAGCTGCATCTCAGAACAGTGCCCTGGAGGGAGGAAAAGAGAAGGAATTGATCTTCTATACCCAGTCTTCCACTGGTCAAAATTTTCCCCTATGGCAGCTTCAAAACACATCAGCAGACTCTTTGCCATTTCTCCCATGCTGAGTTGGGGACGACCTCCTCGAGTGACTCTGGGCTGTCCGTCATGACGCACTCCTGCCCAGCAGAGTGCAGAAGCGATGGCGTGTGGCTCCCAAGGTGAGGGCACACAAGGCAGTGTGGCTTCTGCCTTGCTTGCTGGGCGCTCATGCTTGTCGCACTCAGTTGCCATGTGAGAGGTCAACTACTCCACGGCCACCCTGGGAGCCCACGTGTAGGGGCAATGGTTGACAGCCCCAGCTACGGTCCCAGCCTACAGCCGGACCTGACTGGAGACACACTCAGATGACTCAAGCCCACAGCTGTTGGACCACTCCCAGTCACCGAGTCTCCCCGAGCTGAGGGGCAGAGACATGCCTCCCTCGCCCTACTGACCCACACGATCCAAGAGCCAATTTAAACGGTTGCTTTAAACCCCTAAACCTTGGGGTACCTTGTCATACCTGGGTGGTCGCAGGCATAGTCTCGTTACAAGGTATCAACTCAGCCTCCCAGGTGCATCATTTGGCTCTTTTGACGTCCCCCCATGCCCCACACGCAATGTGGCACTTCAGACCAGAGCCAGGGACACCAGGAGTGTGGCTGGTGGTGGCTGTTAGAATTGCAGAGGTCCCCACAGGAAGCCAGGTGGCCACAGTGGAGCCAAGGTGGGGCACGAGGCTGAGAATTCTGGAGAGATAAGGCCAGAAAACTGGCCATGGCACCTACTAGATGTGTCTGACACAGGGGCAAGGGACAGAAAAGGAGCTCAGGATTTCCGCGTTTCTGGTTTCTGACTTGAGCAACTGGATAGATTAAAGATGATGCAATTTCCTACGATAGGAATCAGACCAAAGGAGGGGTCACAGTTTCAAGTGTCTGTGGGTCCATTAGAGATGGCAAGAAGTGGGAGTCCAGGTCACCAAAGATGACCAAGGCCATTAATCGCAAGACCGCAGGGCCCCAAGAAGGCTTAAAAATCTGTCTCTGATTCTTCTTTCCTGTGTGATGAGTATTTCCAGGTGTCAGGCTGGGTCTCTTGACCAGCTGAGTCATGTATTTCAAGAACAGTGTGTTAAAGAGGACAGAGGTGACCCCAGGAAAGAGCATGGCTTCTCCAAGAGCTGCTATGTGCAAACACACACCTCACACCCCAGTGCTGGCAGGAAAAATACCATCAGATTTATTTTTTTAAAAAAATTATGAGGGGATAAATGTTTTCATTATTTTCCAATATATTAGAATCCTTTCTCAATGTGTATCTCTCCTTTATTCTTTTATCTTTAATTTAAATTGTCGATATTCTACAGGTGCATAATGTTAGTCTGTTTTACAATATTTAGATAATTGGTGCCTTTGACTCACGTTCTTGTTAATATCGCTTTAGTTCATAGGCTCATAATATTCCCAGGCCTGGAGATATTCTTACAAATTAATAATGTAAATTAATAATCTAAAGTGTTGGGGAGCTCATCACCTCCTGTTTTGTTCATATAGGGGGGTAAGATCCTCTTTGGAAACACAAGTCAGGGGCAGGCCTGAGACACAGCTCTGACTGCTACAGATGATCAAATGAAGGGCAGGACCTGGGTGGCCTCCTAGTCCCAGCGGGGGTGTCCAAGACCCACACCCTCCTGCTCTCCCAATGCACAGGTTCTTCCAGCCCCACCCAGCTAATTTAAAAAAGGCAGTGCCTATAGCACTAAAAACTTTTGACTGGCTACAACATCATGTGAAGGGAAAGCAATGCAAGAAGGAATGAAGAAGGACAGAGGGTGAATCATTTCCTGAGGCACCGTGCTCCAGGCACTGCACTGTTCTGGCTACTTTTGTCTCAAGGAATCCCTACAAAATCCTGTTGGTATTAGTGACCCGTATTTTTTACATGAAGAAACTGAATCACAAAGAAATTGATTAACTTGCCCAAGATTGTGCAGCTAGTAAGATTCAGAGCCAGAGTCCACTTTTGACTGCAGTCCAGCGCTCTTTGCACGCTCGCTCTCTTCCCAACGGCATTTGTATCCATCCCGTCACAGATAGGGCGTGACTCAAGTTTCCGGTAGACCTGGCTGCGTGTGCGCAAGAACCCCGGCACCTCTCCCTGGTCGCCACCAGATGGCGCAGCGAGAGACCAAACTCCTGCTGCTTTTCCTCGGTGCTCTTGGCCAGACAGACAGGCATGGGGGAGAACAGCTGCAAGGAGAATGTCAAAACAGAGTTCTATTTAGGAAAGCGAAGCCTTCTGCCTGCCCCTGTCTCCTACCGGGATCCTTGGATGGCTCTCAGCAGACTATAAATGAATTCGTTTCTTCTTTCCCCATCCTACTGCTAACCCACAGCTCTGATTCTATTTTCTCTCTATCCCTGACACAAGGGCACTAGTCCCACCCACAGAAGAGAAGAGTGTGTCCTGAGGCAGAGTGCAGTGGGCGAGCCCGGCGGTGGGAGAGCCGAGGCCTGCAGTTCTCTCCTGCAGCAAGTGGAGGGCCACTCCCCACGCATGTCCCCTCCTGCTGCTTACGTGACACGGATGCACACACGTCATAGGGTACACATAACACACACACATATCATTACACACACATCATAACATGCACACATATCGTATCACACACATCACAACACACATCACACATATATCATAACACATATCATAATACACATTATAACACACATATTGTAATACACATACACATCACACAACATGCATACATATATACCGTACATATAACATAAATATTAAAACACACATATCGTGACATATACACACATCACAACATATATACAACACACACATTATAAGATACACAGAACACACACATAATATACACACATATATCATAAAACACATCAAAACACACATCATAACACACATATCCAAACACACAGCACACACAACATACATATGTCATAACACACCACACACATACACACCACATACAACATGCATACATATATAACGGTGCACATAACACACACATCATAACACATATTGTGACATATACACACATCACAACATACATACAACACGTCATAAGATACACATAACACAACATGCACATGTATCACAACATGCAACATGTACACAACATACATCATAGTGTACATCTAACGTATGCACGTCATAGCACACATATTGTAACATATACACATATCACAGCATACACAGAGTACACACGTGCTAAACTAAGGGACCTATGTCAGCCTGCTGGGGCTGACATAAGAAAGTATCACACACTGGGTGGCTTAAACAACAGAAATCTATTTTCTCGCAGTTCTGGAAGCTGTAAGTCCAAGATCAAGGTGTGGGCAGGTTTGGTTTCTCCTGAGGCTCTGTCCTTGGCTGTCTTCTCACTGTGCCTCACAGGGTGTTTTCTCTGTGCACCCTGGTGTCTCTCTGTGTGTCCTAATCTCCCCTTCTTATAAGAACACCAGTCAGACTGCATCAGAGCCACCCCAACAGCCTCAGTTAGTCCCAGCACCTCTTTAAAGACCCTACCTCCAAATCACATTCGCAGACACTGGGAGTTACAGCTTCAACATACGAATTTGGAGGTCGGGGCACAACTTAGTCCATAACAAAACCCAATCACTTATTTGTTAAATTTCTGAGTAGTGAGCAGAGTTTTGCACTTAATGAAGATGTTTGGTACCAAGAGGTCACAGGAGAAGTCCTGGGTTACAACATGCTCACCACCTCATGAACTACATCAGGTGTATGGCGTTAGGGGTGAATACGGCTGAAACAATCCAAGTAATTATAAACTGACCCATCCCAGGGGCCTCATATGGTTACCCTGATAAATCTGGTTTGGAGGTCTCTACTGATGAACTCACTGGAACATCACCAGTGTCTACTTCTCTGTGAAAAGCACTATTTCCCTCTTCCCTCTCCTTTGAATGTCCTCCAAAGCAGAATGTCCCTGGAGGTCACAGAACTCCCTCTTTCTCTGGGGTCTTTCTACCTGGAAGATGTGCTTAGAAGGCTCCCAAGATCTGCCTACTGTACCCTGGCTGGCTATAGGAGTGGCAGAGTTGTCCTCAGGTGGAAAGTTTAGGGCAGAGGGTCTGCTCACCTGGGAGTGTCACAGGCCAGGCCACTTGGTGACTCATTTAAAAGAAAGTCATATAAAATTAAGAAGTCCAAAAGAATTTATCCTGTTCCAAGGGAAAATTATAGAGGAGAGACAGGAAGTGCCTACTAAGAGAATAAATAAGGCAGCTGCTGTTTGACAGTGACCAACAGCAGTGGGGTCTGGGGTCTGCGGTCCTCTAAGCTGGGGAGTGAGTGTGAGGTCATTTTGATGCCTTGGAATCTCCAGCACCTGGTTTTTCCACAACCACGCTGCTACCCCTCAGAGGACAAACTCACACTAGTCTGCTGACCTAAGTAATTCTCAACCCACTGCCTGTTCCGCTGCCTCAAGGGCAGCCTGCCTTCTCAGAGACATATGGCTTCCGTATTTGAATGTTATGTCATGGTCAAGTAGTTCCATGATGCTGAGTGGAGCCACGGCTGAGCATGTGCAATAGTTGTGAGTGCAGCCTCGTCCACAGAGGCTGACAGGCCTGATCATAGCACACTATAGCCTCAAACTCCTGGGCTCAAGTGATCCTTCCATCTCAGCCACCAGAGTAGCTGGACTACAGGCACGTGCCACTGGGCTCAGCAACAAGGGCTTTTGAAGAATGAATAAGAGCATAAAGTGTGAGTAAAGGAAAAATGTAGGATGGGGCTGAGTAAAGGGCAGATCATCTAAAAGCACCTCAGGGATGCTTATGCAGGAGTTTAAACATTATTCTGAAAGTCTTAAATGATGTTAGGCAGGCCTGAGACAGTCAGGTGGACATACTGCTAGAAAAGTACTCAACCCCCTGGGTGAGGAAGGATGGTGGCTACTG